GATGAGCCCCTGCAAGTGGGGGGGGTTGCTGTCTGCTCAGACGGTGGCAGCAGGGGACCAGAGAGGGCTCTGCCACTGAGCCACGGGCCTGTTCCAGGGGGCAGGGCCACCATACGAGGTGCTCAGCGGGCTGCGTGGGGGTAACAGAGAGGAAATAGTGGGGGGGGGGCAGCCCCGGGGGCTGCTGCGTAATCACATCCAGGTGGCTTGCAGGGGCCAGCCCCGCCACCGGCTCTCCTTTCGTGGCCGAGCCGAAGGCCAAGCGAAGGATGGAATAGGAGACCTCGACGAAGACCAGCTTAGGAGGTTGTCGGATCCAGCGCCTTCTGCCCTCTTTTAATCAGAGCCCCGGTCTTCTGGGGCTGGCTGAGGCCCTCCGCTCGCACGCCACCTCTCTCGCCAACCTTGCCCCCCAGGCGCCCCTTTGAGAAGCTGTCGAAGTGGGGAGGGGCCGGAAGAGAGAGAGAGAGAGAGAGAGAGAGAGTCTGCCTCTGCTTCTTCCCGATCGACTTCTATGCAGCAAGGAAGCCCGTGGCTGTGGACAAGCCATTCTGACTTCTCTTCTGCTGGTCTCCAGGTATATTTCAGTATATCAAGAAGCTCTTCCTGACGGAACAGGCCGGTCGGGCTCAGGCGGTGGACTTCCTGCGCAAGAATGTGGCCAACTCCATCTCCATGGCGAACCTGGTCATGGGCCTCTCCTCCATCCTGTGCAGCCTCAACGGGTACGGGGATGCTCAGCACGGGGTGGGGGTGGGGGCTGGGCCTGGCCCGGACCCCCAGTGGGACGGCTGCCTGGATTCCCGACGGAAGGTTGGCGACAGGAGCCATTTCTCATCCTGTCCTCCTCTCCCACTGGTCATCCCGGCAGACCTTCCTGGTCATGGCTGTAAGACCCGGTCTTTGGGGGTGCAGGAGGGAGGAGGACCCTCCTTTGGAGAGCAGGGCCTGGAGGCTCCTGAGGTATAGGGTGGGTTGTTTGGATGGCAACACCTCACCGGGCTCAAGTCCTACTAGGGGGACTGTCAGCTATGCTGCCATGGGGGTGGGGAAGTTGGTTGTCTTCTAATTGCCTTTGCATTCCTTCTCTGCTTCTTTGCTGCTGCAACGCTTATCTCTAAGTTACGCAGGTGGGGATGTTGATGTCTGGATTTCTCGGGACCGTGGGAGAGAGTTTGGTTCCCAGCTTCAGCGCTAAACGGCCGGAGCACTTTCTCCCACATGCGGGAGGGTGGCTAATTGGCCAGGGCAGTGGGTGGGGGGGTGCATACGAATACCCTATATCCTATTATGCCCCATGGGCAGCCGTCATTCTTAACAGTGCCTATGTTAATGCATCTATGGCTCTTCAATAAAGTATTCCCTTTCCTGAAAGTGTGTACTACGTTGATGGCTGTGGGTTCTGACAGGGACCCTGCCTGGTGCCTGCAACCTCATGGAGCCGTGACCAATGCTCCCTCTAAGCCGTGGAGTCTTGTGAGCAAAAATCCTACTCTTTGAGCGACTGGCATTAAAGCTGTGAGCGAGCGATTGGGCTACTCACTGCATAAATCATTTTGCTCTGGAGCCCCATCCTTCCTGAGCGAAGACCAAACTGTGAGGCGGAGGCTAACAAACTGTGAGCTGGCTCACACTCACTCAGCTTAGAGGGAACACTGGCCGTGACCCATCCCGAGAATCTTCGGGGTCAGACCCGTTCCGTTCCTCCATCTGGTCCAGCTTTCCGGGATTTCAGAGAGAAGGCTGTCTTCCCGGTCAGCACAGAGAGAGGCGGAGCTGCCGGGGGTGGGTGGGGGTTCACTTTCCCTGTGAGCTCGAGACCTCCTCCCCACCAGCCGTGCCCTTTGGCCGAAGAGCTGTGAGACGCCTCCTGAGCGAGCAGGAGAAGACGGTTTCTTTTGCCGCCCGGATTGTCTTCGCCTGCTGAGGCTGTACGTTGAGCGGGCAGTGTGCCCAGAGGCCTTTCTGCTTGGAGTGCGCAAACAGGCCTTGCTGTCAGGGGGGGAGGGGCGGCCCCCCGCCTCTCTTGCTGCCCTTGTGGCGTGGGAACCCCTCGAGGCACGTGCCGGGGAGCGTGACAGTGGGGAGGTGGGGGGGGGGCAAGCACTCGGCAGCGGGCCATGGTCTGCGCCTTGGAGGGTAGCCGTGGCAACGCTCATGCTCTCCCCTCTCTCCTCCCCCAGGCTGCACCATCATGCCTGCTGGCTGGTCCTGGTCGGGTTCCTGCTGGACCTTGCGGACGGAGCCGTTGCCAGGCAGCTGAATGCTTGCTCCGCCTTGGGTGAGTCAGCCCCCTCCCTGTGTGGCCCACCTCCCTCTGCAAGCAAGCAAGCAAGCAAGACCTCCTCGCCAGAGAATCTCTCAGTCCCTGGGGGGGTGTTTGAAAGTCTGTGTTGGGTGTTACAAGTCAAAACACTTCAGTATTTACAGGGTTAATGATGTTTGTTATGATCAACAGGAAGTCACATGTTTGTTTGTAACCGATCTGTTTAGACAATAGGATGCCCGGGAACTTTGGAGCTAACTTGCTAGTCTGATGGGAAACCAAGGTGTCAAGCATTTACCATATTGGCTTCTCCTTCCTCTCTTTGTTCTGACAGAAGGGAGAAGACGCCAGCTCTTCCTGCGTTTTACCTGTAGCTGTAAGGATGTAGGCATATTAGCTCTTTGTTATTTTCATATCCTGTGTACCTTTTCCCCATGTTAGGTTTATAGTAAACTTTTATATTTTAATACACACCATGGACTCAGTCTCTTAAATCTCTGCTGACTTACTCAAAAAGAATCCCAACAAAGGTTATGGGCCCAGATCCGTTCCTTTCTGCGCAAAGCTGACCATGCATGTATGAGTTTACTTAGAAACTTTTAAGAATAGCACAATTTTTTTTTGAAATGTTTTCTGGATAAACCTTGTTAGAGAAAAATATATCTTCTTTAATTATCCAGTGAATAACAAATCGTAACGGTGTTTTCTTTGAAGTAAAATGGTCTTAAGTTTTTCTTTCTGACATACAGCGCTCAATGGACCGTTTCACTCAAGGTTTCGTTTCGTCAGATGAGATCTTGACACCTTTTGTATTTTTTCCTACTCCCCCAAATGATGGTCAGCTAGAAAGGAAGAGGGAGTAGGAAAAAATACAAAAGGTGTCAAGGTCTCATCTGATGAAACCTTGAGTGAAACGGTCCATTGAGCGCTGTATGTCAGAAAGAAAAACTCCCTTTACGATTTTTGATTCATGGGATAATTAAAGAAGATATATTTTTCTCTAACAAGGTTTTCGTTATCACATCACGGCCGTTTTCCTTTACAGAGTTCACCCTCCAGGTGGGGCCTGGAGCTCTCCAGACTACAGAAACCAGCTCCCGGGGGGTGGGGGGACGGCCTGCTTTGGCGGGCAGGTTCTAAGGCCTTGTGCCCTGCTGCGGCCCCTCCCCAAACCGCCCTCCCAGCAGGCTCCACTCCCAAGTCTCCAGGAATTTCCCAACCCAGGGTTGGCAACCCTAGCTGGCCCCTGATGTTTGACAGCTACCAGAGCAGAATTTCCCCCTCTGCTGCTTCTAAGACCGGAGGGAGCGGCTTTTGAGGGCCTCTGTCATTTGTTGCATTGAATCGAGCTTCCTGTTTAAACTGAAAACGCCGTGCCGAGTACTGGAGAGGGGCCCCCCTGGGCAGATTGTGTGCGAGGAGGAGTGTGGGCCAAGCCGTGGACGACTGTGCTTCCATCCGGGAGTGACCAGTCCCTCTCATCTCTCTCTCTCTCTCTCTCATCGCACCCCCGCAGGTGCTAAACTGGACGACTTTGCAGACTTCACCACCTTTGGCCTGGCCACGACTCTGCTCCTGCAGGCCCACAGCATCCTGGACGGGGTGCTGGCCATCGTGTACGTGCTGGCCGTGTTCACACGCCTCTGCTTCTTCTCCAGTGGTGAGTCCCGGGCTGGGCCCAGCTGGCAGAGCAGGGCATCTGCACCGCAGGAAACAGAGTTCAGGGAAATCAGCACCGTTTACGGCAGGCGGGGCTTTGTCCCGCCGGGGACAGGAGACGGCTCCCCAAGAGTCCCTCTCCAGAGCTGGCTTTCAGACTGCAAATGGATGCTGGCTGCGAAATCCTTGACAAGTGGCCGGAGGGGGGGGGCTGCCAAAGGGAGCTCTGCCCGGCAGAAGAGGCTTCTGGCTCAGAGAGTCAGCATGATCCCTTTCTCGAATGTGCATTTCTCAGTCCTCAGACAGCCATGGAGGGATCCGACCAGCCAGCCTCTCTTGCCGGGGCTCATCTGACCACCCGAAGCTGCCTTCTGGGGGGTCAGCCTCTCAGCCCTTCCAGTCCCCCCCCCCCGTCTCCTCTCCAGGCTCTGACTGAGAGGGAGGCCACTGTCAATACCCTTGGCCTAAAAGTGGGGGGCAGAACAGGGGACGTTTCACCTGCCCAGCTTTCTTCCAGGTTGCCCAGGTGCCCTGCTGCGCTTCGTGCCTCTCTCCTTCTCCACCCCCTTTCTCAAGGACACTGTATTGCGTCACAGTTCTGGAGTTTCTGGGCAAGAGGCCCTTCCGTCTCCACAGAATGGCTGGGGGAGGGGCCATGGCTCCGTGGAAGAGCCTCTGCTTGGCATGCAGAAGGGTCCCAGGTTCAATCCCCGGCAGCATCTCCAGTTAAAAAGGACCAGGCAGCAGGTGATGGGAAAGACCTCCGCCTGAGACCCTGGAGAGCTGTAAAGAGGGGCTGTGGCTCAATGGCAGAGCTGCTGCTTGGCATGGAGACAGTCCCAGGTTCAATCCCTGCCATCTCCAGTTAAAAAGGACCAGGCAGGAGGCGATGGGAAAGACCTCCCCCTGCGACCCCAGAGAGCTGTAAAGAGGGGCTGTGGCTCAGTGGAAGAACCTCTGCTTGGCATGCAGAAGGGTCCCAGGTTCAATCCCCAGCAGCATCTCCAGTTAAAAAAGGACCAGGCAGGAGGGGATGGGAAAGACCTCCACCTGAGACCCTGGAGAGCTGTGAAGAGGGGCCGTGGCTCAGTGGAAGAGCCTCTGCTTGGCATGCAGAAGGGTCCCAGGTTCAATCCCCAGCAGCATCTCTGGTTAAAAGGATCATGTAGGGTGATGGGAAAGACCTCTGCCTGAGGCCCTGGAGAGCGACTAGCAGTGTGAGTGGACAAGACTGGCCTTGATGGACAGATTAAAGAGAAGGCAGCGTCATCTGTGTTCCTGTACCTGCTGCCGTCAGGGGGGGGGGTCGGTGTGGCTGGCACAGGGTGGAAGAGGATGTCGGCCCCGCGGAGCCTGCAGTGTGACCCAGCACAGCTGCTCTTAAAGCTCCCTTTGCCAACTCCGTTCCCCGTCTCCCTGTCCCTCCCCCCTTTCTCGCAGGGGTCCCCTTCATGTACCGGGGCCTGCCTTGCCCTTACGGCTCCTCCGTGCTGGCTTCCACCTACCTCCTGACCGGGGGCAACCTCGTGGTGCTGCGCATCGTCGCCATGGTGATGATTCTCTTCATGGTGGACCAGGGCTTCTACCCTCATGACAAGGTGTTGGAGTCCCAGGCTTGGAAGAAGGTGGTGTACGCGGGAGGTGAGTTCCAAGCAGGCCAAAGAGGGCCTCTCAGCTGGAACGGTCTTCGTTGGCAGGCCGCTCCACAGTGGCGGCCTTTGGATGATGGCGGTGGACTCCGTCTTTTGCGGTTCCTTCCTGGCCAGTGAAGCTCACTCAGCAAGATGGGCTTGATGGTGGCCCGTGGGGGTGGGGGGCCCCCCTCCAGCTTCTTTCCCTGCCGCTTCCTGGAGTCGGAAGCCAGAGTCTGAGCTCAGCAAGGAGAGGCCTACCTGGAGAGACGTCTGCTTTGGGCCGCTCACACCAGGCCCCAAAGGGCCGCTTCACTGAGGCAGAACGCGGGAGCTGAGAGCTGGACTGGGGCCCATGGGATTGTATTTATTTATATTTATTTTTTATTTATTACATTTCCTCCCTGCAAACGGGCTCAGGGCGGCTTACACGGGGGCACAAGCCCATACATAAAACAGTATAAAAACATTAAAAGCTATTAAGTCACAACAAAAGCAAATAAAGTGCTCCCTATAACGAGATGGACTCTGAGGATGGTATCGGTCCTTTCATTACGGCGAAATTGTCCTCTCGATGGTCCAGCACTGGAGAAACGCCCTCTCCTTCCCCGTCATGGTCAGGCGTGACACCTCAGCGCCAGACTCCAGCTCCGCACACCTGGCCCCCCTCTGCCTCAGCGCCAGAACCAAAGACGCCGGAGTAGTGGCGGGCAGTGTTCCCTCTAAGCAGAGTTAGTGTGAGCCAGCTCAGTTTTTTAAGCTTCCGGCTCACACCCTTTTGCCTCAGCTCAGGAAGGAGGGCTCCAGAGCAGACTAATTTATGCAGCAGCCAGATCGCTCGCTCACAGCTTTAATGCTAGGAGCCCACAAAGCAGAATTTTTGCTCACAAGATTCCACAGCTTAGAGGGAGCCTTGGTTGTGGTGGTGGTGGGGGGACGACCCTCAGGAGAGAATATTCTCATTCCTCCTGGCAAAAGTGCCCATG